TAGCCATTGTTTCTGAAATCTGAATTGACATAAAAATCATAAACAGTTACTTGTGTATATATATGTGTGGAACATGGGAAGAAAACAACCAAAAGTAAAAATGTCAGATACCAAGAGAATGTGTCAACCCTATGGTGATGCCTGATTTGTTTGTGATGTAATATTATGCAACTGTCTAGCCGGCCCACCCATTGTGAGTCATGACACATCATGGGGTGTTTCGTTATGATGGTTAGAGCTGTACCCATCACTGAGGAGTTAAGAGAGTCTGAATATTTCCATGAGATAGCATTAAGAAGTAAAACAAACCAACAGGAGTCATGCAAAAGGTTGCAAATCACACACACACACACACACATACACACACACACACACACACACACACACACACACACACACACACACACACACACACACACACACACACACACACACACACATACGCAAGCACGCACGCGCACGTACACGCATGCTCGCACACACACACACAATCTTGGCCACGATAGCACCAAGGAAGGCACCAGGGAAATCCTCACCCAGGAAAAAAAGGAATCTATCACACAAGAAGGCATGATGGAGTATGAGAGAATCCTATGGCTCCATCCCCCACCCAGCTGAGCACCTTCCTAGCTGATCTATCAATCTGGGTAATAACTTTTAATTCCTAGGCCATATCTTGCTGTGTTCGCTTCACATGTTGGTCATACGGTCTATACTGCTATGAATACATGGAGGATTCATTGTCTAAGTTAGGGGTTGGTGGGCAGCAGTATTATCTATATTGTATTTATATATCATTGTTATTTTACCATGCAATATCCCTAGTATCTCTCAAGCCCTCCACTACTATTAGGGCCAAGAATGTGGGGTTGGGGGGGTGGAGGTCCACAACATAATTCCCATATATATGTAAGGCCTTTTTTCCGGTGCCAAGAAACTGTCTAACTACACTAGAAAGTGTCGTTTTTTTTCATTTGCTACACTTCTCCAGGCTGATCACGACAGAAACGCTGCCGATGCTTCTACACTGTTGCCACAGGAGCAGCTCACACCCCATTCCTAGGAACTGTATTCGAGTTGACAAATCTGATTTTGTTTTTGAATTGTATCAATTGACAAATCACTGGTTTACTGATGTACCATTAGGAAACAACAATAAATACAAGTTGTTAGTTATCAACATCTTCAATTACAAATCAAATGACGGAAAACTATCGAAATCAGTTGTAAATGTGCGGGCCCCAAGCACCTCCCATCATACTTCTTCATTCGTCCATCGACACTGGTTTCGAAGGTCACACTTTTTAAAATATTTTGAAAATGACACTATTTATTGATTGATATCAACCACATTCAAAAGGATATATAAGTTTACGTCTGTATATTCAATTATACATACATAATAAGTAAAATGATTATGTAAAACCTAATATAAATTTTCAAATATTCTTTTAACCATTTGAACACATTCTGTAAATAAAACATGAGATACTTCCCCGTATATCATTCATCATGAAACACTTTTGGAGGCCTGAATATTGCCCAAGATTTAGCATAAATGATATAAGAAAAACAGTAACTAGCCTTACATGACATATCGCATAAAAATGAACACATACGAAAGATAAACCTGAACCTTGCTCTTCTTAGCCATGGTCCTATTAATACGAAAGCATATAAAGCTTAGCTCTACATTGTTATATGATTGTAGTGTATATTTTTAATATTGTATTTCTGCATATATATGTATGTGTGTGTGTATGTATGTATTGTATATATATATATAATATATATATATATATATATATAATATATATATAATATATATATATATATATATATATATAAATATAAATATAAATATACATAAATATATATAATATATATATATATATAATATATATATATATATTTATATATATATATATATCTATCTATCTATCTATCTATCTATCTATCTATCTATCTATCTATCTATCTATATCTATCTATCTATCATCTATCTATCTATCTATCTATCTATCTATCTATATCTATATCTATATCTATATCTATATCTATATCTATATCTATATCTATATCTATATCTATATCTATATCTATCTATCTATCTATCTATCTATCTATCTATATATATATGCATGTGTGTATACATATGTTTAAATATATATGTGTGTGTACTCTGTACTGTATATATAGGTATGTATGTATGTACACATTTCTGTATGTATATATATATAATATACATACATATACGCACACATACACGCGCGCGCGCGTGCATAAATACTTTCAAACTAGTACTTAATGTAATAATATCCTTATTAACATCATCAACGTTACTAATGTTGCACCATACAGTGTAGCATCAACTTTGAACTTCCCATTTTCTTCAGTTTTAAAACGCACATAGTTGCTCCGCGTGCTTATCAGCCAGGTGCAGTTGCAAATATATGACTCCCCCCATAAATAGGGCGGAGTTTTAGGAAACTGTAGTACTACACCTCCTTGGCACCGGAAAAAAGGCCTATATATGCACTAGAGAGACAAATCCATCCATACCAAAATCGTTGTGATCTGTCATACAAAGGTATTCTAAACAATTACCCTAAGTGGCCAAATGAACATAAAAAACAAAATGATATAGGAAATGATCTGCAAAAAGTTAAAGTAAGCACATAGACCCTCAACAAAAATAAACCTACAATACTCATGTGCTCACCATGGCCTTCTGCAACTTAAGCATTCTTTCAAAGGCCAACAATGCTTTTCAATTTATAGTCTGGGAAGATGCAGACCTACGTGATGATAAATGAACAATCTAATAACCGTTTCAATGTTTAACTCCAGATTTGCATCAGAGAATGGTGGGCTTTATTTTAGAGGTAATGCCCTTGGTACAAGAATCATCATACAAACTCCTTTTAAGCGACATTACTCATTAAATGCAAATTCCAGCTTCCCTTTCTTATATTGTTATTTTTTTCTATTCTCTGAAAAATAGCTGGTGTTCTATTATCTTGCATCATAAATATGAATCTTATAGAAAAAGGAATATTTCAAGAACTACTTTGTAATAACAAAAATATATGAGCCATAGGACTGCAACTTTTTACACTCACATTCTTCCACTGCACATTGTGATGAAAAACAAAAATCCCAAATCCATTTCCTCTGTAATTCCTATTTTGGTTTGTTTTGGTTATGAAAAAAATCCAACAAATGTTTCAAAATACTGAAGCTTCAAATATTTTTTTGAAAACAATATACAATTTTGTAACCATGTAACACAATGAACAGTTTCTTGAACAAGCAAATTACTAATTTTTAAAACTGCATGTTTGATGATAAGTCTTGAATCTTTTTTCAATGACATGTTATTAAAATAAACTTTCATAGCAGGGTCAAAACTCTATTATAATACACCATTTCATTACCAGCATGTCGAAGTTTTAAAACCATGAACAAAATTTTGCTATAGCTTTCAGTTTCATACTGAAGATAGGGAAAAATCTAAAAACACTGACATAAAGAGAGGGAAAAACTACACTTACAGACACTTGAAATAATCTACACAGATAAATGAGAAATTAGAAATGAAGAAAATTAATTGCAACAAATTCTGTGCAGAGCATAAGCCAAGTCCTTGTTGATTGGTGGGATTTTGGATTAGGTAGGATTTTGGTTCATGCAGTTTGTGGATTCCCATTTTGTTGGCTGGCATAATTTGGACTTATGGCCATATGCTTAGAGAAATTTGTCTAATGCATATCAGTTCTTGGCACAATTTCTCTTTACGGCAGTTGGAAGTTGTAACATAATTTTAGGACTGTCAGTTTCAAAAATACAATGTTCTTATCACTTGCCTTATTTTGGTATACCAGTTGATTTTTGTGGTATTATCATTAGTAGAGAATTTTGTGCTTCAAAGAGTGGATTCCACAATTTCTTTAAGCATACTACCATTAACCATTAAGTGTGGTCACTTCATTAATACCAATAATTTCACAGATTTCGTGAATAGGTCATTTCCAATGGAAACAATAACAGAGTCATACACATTACTCAGAGAATAATTGAAAAAAAAAATCATAGGTTCGATGGCTGTGAAAAGCCAAAAGATTACCATGATCTTATTTTTTTATTTTAATTTAGTGTTCAACATTGCCCACTTGATGTCAAAGCAATACAAAGGCTGGTAGTTTTTTGGAATACATCCGCCTAATGGATCGCGACGATTTCAGTATCGTTGGATTCCTCTGACTGTCTACAACACATATATGTAGGTCTTATTGTGCGGATCCCCCCCACCCCACATTCTTGGCCCCAATAACTATTAAAACAAGAATCCTCCACATACTCACAGCAAACATGAGTGTATGACACCATGCAGAGGCATTGCCAAGTCTGTCTGACACTCTCTCCCGCCATAAATATATGGAGGATAATTTGTTTTCCTGGGCAGGGTTAGGGGAGTGGCAGCCCCCAATGGGGGGGGGGGGTTGCAGGGACAATATAGTGACTAATTCTGTGTATATCATTTGCATTTAACCCCATAATTCCCTGGTACCTTTGAAGCCCTCCCCGTTATCGGGTCCAAGAATGTGGAGGGTTTGGGGGTTCCCCGTAATAATTTCCATATATTTGGAAACTAAACAGTGAGAGGAATCCAATGATACCGAAATCGTCGCGATCCGTTAGGCGGACGTATTCCCAAAAATTACCCAAAGTCTAATCCAACCACCTTGCCTCACTTATGCAGGATTTAATCCTGTCTTGAATATTCCTAGCCAGAGTTGAACATTGAAGTTTGCAACTATTTACCCATTATACATACACGTTCACTTACCATCCTGGTGGGAAAATATATTCACTCGTATTATATTATATCATATGTAAATCTTCGTCCGTTCATCAACTTTTCCAAGGCAAAAATTTTGATTTTATTTTTACTGTGGACGATCAGCAGTCACATGCAATATAAACTTGATAAACCATATGCAACAAAACGATTATATAACACTCATCAATTCAATAGGCAACGAGAACTATTAGATTGTTATAGAATCATTTTTTACGATGCTCTTATGTTTACACATAATCAGAAATATCCTGTATACTTTACCTTATACTACTGTCCTGATACCAAAACAAACGTTTCTGAGAACAATGGAAACGGAAATATTTTCAATGACTTTTGTTCTCTTGCAAATAAAAGGGAAATAAACATATAATATCTACTTCTACCTTACCTTCACAAACCTCCATATCTTATATTATTTAGAGGTAAATCTAGTGATGTAATCTTACGTAATTACTTAGAAGGAAAATACTAGAAATTTACACTGTACGAAGCATTTTGAAAAGAAATGAAAATATCATTCACGTCCATGACCTTGACAGGTGAAGACAGATGTACAATAACGAACAAATATTTCCATTTATCATATGCTCTCAATGCGGACATTTAAACGTCATATATACAAACAACTGCAGAGAAACACTACTTTCTACATTTCGGCATTAAAACTGCTTGGTTAGATTTACAGTTGTAGAACTGAAAAAAATATATTTTCAAGGAAGATGCTAATTTCATTAGTTGTTCCTGGTAAGAATACATGCAAGCGACTGACGTTTCTAGTGAGTGACAGGTTAACTGAGGATTTCTCTTTTGGACCATCACACACACACACACACACACACACACACACACACACACACACACACACACACACACACACACAACCACACACACAAATATATATATATATATATATATTATATATATATATATATATATAATATATATATATATATATGTGCGTTCACGTACGCACTTACTTGTGCATGTATATTATTTATGATATCTTTATTCGTGTATTTATTTGCAGAATCTAAAGTTTGTGCAATTTGTATCTGAGCAACACAATTGCACAGTCTCCTAGAAGTTACTCGTATTATCCATATCCTAGAAACTAAAATAAACCTTTTTCTGTCTCGTTCGAAATACCTATTCAAAACATACATAAAGACTGAATTCAAACAAAGATTTTTCACTAATCCCAGAAACAAAATATGAAAGAAAGAAACAGAAGAGAGAAAGAGAGAGAGAGAGAGAGAGAGAGAGAGAGAGAGAGAGAGAGAGAGAGAGAGAGAAGAGAGAGAGAGAGAGAGAGAGAGAGAGAGAAAGAGAAAGAGAAAGAGAAAGAGAGAGAGAGAGAGAGAGAGAGAGAGAGAAGAGAGAGAGAGAGAGAGAGAGAGAGAGAGGAGAAGAGAGAGAGAGAGAGAGAGAGAGAAGAGAGAAGAGAGAGAGAGAGAGAGCAGAAAGACAAAGTGAAAACGATTGGTACGATAACACCTAAACCGAGTACAAGAGTTTGGAACGGGTTTCGTACGACAATCGAGCATCTTCAAAAGTGTTCAGTGAGCATCGCCAGAGAGTTACCCTGCGAGCGCCCAAGATTATTGTTCAAAGTTCAATCTAAATGTATTGCTTATTACGAGTGTAGTGCCTTATTTATATATCTTCGGACCGAACCTTTTGTGGATTATTACAATATGGTTGCTGATAAAGTGACTGACATCTCTTCAGGACAATATGGTGAGTTAATGAGAGAGAAAGTTTGTAAAATAAGTTATTTCCTCTGAAATCTCGGGGTGTCATTAACTGAGATGAAGTTGATTAAAGCAAGTAATTACCGAAAGCAATTATTTTGATTATTTTTTTTAGTTTTTATTACGTCATAGTCACGTGATTATATTACATTAATTAATATTTCATACAGATATGTGTTTCTTACAAAAGAAGAAGCATTTGCATAATCTTTCAAGTTTTGAAAATGCTGTTGTTGTTGTTTTTGGTTCTGTTATTATTATTATTATTGTTTTATTATTACCATTAACTTCTTTTCTTCTTATTATTATTGGTCTATTAATACCATTAACTCCTCCATGTTATTTTTTAGATTATTATTATTATTATTATTATTATTATTATATTATATTATTATTATTTTATTATTATTATATTATTATTATTATTATTATTATTGTTATTAATGTTTATTCTATTTTTATTATTATTGTAATTGTATTCTAATTATTTTATTATTATTGTTATAATTATTATTAGATTACCGTAATTATTGTTATTGTTATTATCATTATCATTATCATTATTATATTATATTGATTAATACGCGTGCGACGACTAGATTCGCCCTTTTGTAATATTTTTCCAAAATAAAAGTGAAAGGTGAATCATCGCGTATGGCCTGATAGTGCTTATCTTACCGACATGTAAACATCACAGGAGTAGCACATCATTTTCCTGAATATGAGTGGGTGTGGCCGGTTTGTTTGCAGAGTGAGCGTGCATGCTGTGGGTACGTTCGTTGATGTGCGTGTGTGTGTGTGTGTGGTGTGTGTGTGTGTGTGTGGTGTGGTGTGTGTGTGTGTTGTGTGTGTGTGTGTGTGTGTGTGTGTGTCTATCTATGCATATATATGTGTAGCAGCGTATGAGAGTGAGTGTGAGTATAAGTAATAATAAGAATAAGGAAGGAAGAAAAGAAGAGAGAGAGAGAGAGAGAGAGAGAGAGAGAGAGAGAGAGAGAGAGAGAGAGAGAGAGAGAGAGAAGAGAGAGAGAGAGAGAGAGAGAGAAGAGAGAGAGAGAGAAATTAACGAGTGGGCGAACATATGTTGTTGGACGCTGGATATTAACGATTTCAAATTCATTTCACAGATACGAGTGTCAGTGCGAGTAATGCCTTTGATATAGATCAGTGAATAGTACTATCAACGGATCGTTTACACAGCAAACAAGCAGTCGATGAAGTTTATACGCGAACGATAGGAAACCATCCCCCCTCCCCCCTCCCCCCTCCGATCACTTTCGCAACAGCGCAACCATCTGTGTTTGACCGCCTGCTGCCGAACCAGTTGCTATTATGCGGTGAAAAAAACGGGGAGGGAGAGTGGGGGAGGGGGAAGGGGAAGGAAGTGGGAGAGGGAGAGGGGACGGCGAAGGGAGTGGGAGAAGGAGAGGGACGGGGGAGGGAGAAGGGAGGAGGAGTGGTGAGAGGGAGAGGGGGTGAGGGAGGTGAGGTGAGGGTGAGAGTGGGAGAGGAGAGGGAGAGGGAGGCGAAAAATGGAGTGGGAGAGGGATGGGGAGGGGGAGGTGGAGTGGAGATAGGTAAGGGAGTAGGGAGAAGGAGACTGGTTAGAGGGATAAAGGGAGAGGGAGAGAGAAAGAGTGGAGGAGGATGTTGAGATAGATAATTAAATATATGATATAAAAGAATAAAAAAAAGACAAAAAAGATAAATCGATTGCGTCATCCCTAACATGTCGATCTAGCCCGTGCGTTGTAGAAGCTGGTTCCCACGCGCTTTCTCGGTTCACGTTCACCTTTTTTTTTTTGTGTGTGTGTGTGTGCGTGTGCGTAAATATACGTGTTTTATATCTCTTGGAGTCAGCACTGGAGACTTGTTTGTGTGATTGGCGCTTGTGTGTTTTGGGTGATGTGGTTATTAATGTTGTTAAAGGTCTTGATTTTGCAGATTGTATTTGCATTGAAAGAAGTATTCTGAATAGATGAATGGTCGGCAATGAGAAGATGATGTATAATTTCAGAAGCAAACAAATCGATATGATGAGCCAATGATGAAAATAAGTAAATAGATAAATGAAATGAGTAGATATATATATGAGAACTATTGGTAAATAAATGAAAAAATAAAGAAATGAATAATGGTAAATAAGTACATAAATTAATAGCAATTGAACAAATAAATGAAGTAAATTAATTAATGAAAAGGTTGATAAATGAATTCGACGAAGGGGACCAGTAAAAAAATACAACTAGGGCTTCATTCTCGTGTTGCATGATGTGATAAATCCAGCTTCAGAGAGGTGGGAGGAAGGAAAGTGGAGGAAGAAGGGAGGGAGGAAGGGAGAAATGGTGGAGAGATAGGGAGAATAGAGGGAAATGGAGGAGAGGTGAGGAGGAAGGGAGAAATGGGGGAGGGAGATAGGGAGAATAAGAGGGAAATGGAGGAGATAGGGAGAATGAGAGGTGAGGGAGGAAGGGAGAAATGGGGGAGGGAGATAGGGTGAAGAAGAGGGAAGTGGAGGGAGAAGTGTGAGAGTATTGAAAGTGAATGGACGAAGGGAAACGGAAAGAGGGACGGGGCTCCACGCTCACTCGAGTCGAACCGTGGCCACGCAACTGGACTGAGGCCGAGCAAGCGGACGAGAGCAGGCGCAAGCAAAGGCACGCATACGCAAGGGAACGTACACGCATTCACGCATTGTACTGGAGAGGGAAAAGCATTTGGAGAGGGAAGGAGAGAAATTGAATTGGAGGGAGGAAGAAGAGTGGGCAGAGAAGGGGAAGGGAAAGGGGTAGGAGGAGGGAAAGAAATTAAATGAAAGGAAAGGGATGGAAAGGAAAGGGAAGGAAGAGAAGGAAAAGGAAGGGAATTGAAAAAAGAAGAGGAGGAACAGGGAAAAGGAAGGGAATTGAAAAAAGAAGAGGAGGAACAGGGAAAATAGGAAAGAAAAAGAAGGGAGAGGAGAAGGAGAAGGACAGGGGAATGGAAAGGGAACAGGAAAGAGAGTGGGAAAGAGAAAAGGAAAAGAGCAAGGCGAGAAAAAGAGAGAGGAGAGGAGAAGATGGAGGAGTATGAGAGGAAGAGGGAGGAGAGGCAGCAAAAACAGGATGCTTCTCCGTCGAGGTCGCAAGCATCTCCCAGCGATCCTAAAAAAAAGAAACAAGCACATTCACAAGATTTCCCCTGTACACGTTATTCCCCTCCCCCCTCCCCCCTCCCTTTTTTCAAGATAATATTTTTGTGACGAAGCTCTCTTTTTTTGGGGGGTGGGGTGGGGGGAGAGGTATTGTTTGTCTTTTCTATATTTTCTTTGCGTGCAACTTGTGGTCTTTGGTGTTGCATCAGTACAAAAAACCCGATTGCCTTGAAAGTGGTACGGGCTTTGCGT